TCACAAGTATCTTCTGAAAAATCCCTTAAAATGCCAGAAGTAATTATTTCATTATATATAACTCAGTATTCATTCAGTAACTATCAAGCAACTTATCAATAGCATAGCATTGTCAGATGCTACCTGGGACAAAGAGAAGACAGAAGTTAAGCCGTTATTACAGGCCACAACATGGCACTCACTCTGCCACATACACTATCACAACCTTATACTAAGAACAACAGTCTAGAATCTCTAAAACTGAGAATTACTAGAATCTACATTTTTTTCAGTTCATTAATTGAAAATTTAATTAAGCTGCTGTATCCCATCACTCCATTTTCTTACCTTTAATTGAAGACATTCTGAGCTATGGGATAATAACCTTAAATATGCTGCAATTTAACTAAATTAAGCAAGTATTTCACAAAAAGTGACACTCCCCCACAACAAATCCTAAGAAAACCATTTCCAATTCTGTAAGCTCCAAAGCTGTAAGTCAACTGTACTCCAGTGTAAGTCTAGCTCCTGAAGAAGTAGTAGCCCTCTTAGTATTATTAACTGACCTCACATCTCATCAGAAATATCATGGGGTAAAATTGGTACTTTTGTACCAAACCTATTTGTGCTTTATAGAAAAAGACAAAAAGGCTAAAATGGAAATTCATCCATCTAAATTCGTCTGTCCCACCAACTATGTTATGAGTTAGATAAGACATCTCATAAAATGATGAGTCATTCTTTATCTATTCCATCTTCACTTTTTTTTTCTACCTTCACTTAGATACAATTTTTTGGCTTGTTTTCTAAGACAGAGTGTCACTTTGTTGCCCTTGGTAGAGTGCCACAGTGGCATAGCTCACAGCAACCTCAAACTCTTGGACTCAAGTGATTCTCTTGCCTCAGCCTCCCAAGTAGCTGTGACTACAGGTGACGACCACAACGCTGTTTTTGTTTATTTAGTGAGTATTTATGGAGACAGTGGCTTATTTTGTCACCCTCAGTAGAGTGCGATGGTGTCATAGCTCATAGCAAATTCAAACTCTTGGGCTTAAGCGATTCTCTTCCCTCAGCCTCTCAGGTAGCTAGGATTAGAGGTGCCCGCCACAATGCCTGGCTAGCTTTTTTTTTTTTTAAATAGGGACACTGTCTTGCTCTGGCTCAGCTGGTCTCAAACCTGAGAGCTCAGAAAATCCACCTGTTTTGGCCTCCCAGAGTGCTGGTATTACAGGCATGAGCCACCACACCCAGCCTTTAGATAAATATTAAACAAAAACTCCACCTGGTCCACACTCTACCTTTTACTTTTACTAACTATGACCTCTTATAGGCAAACTATAAGAAAATAATTTAGGGCCGGGTGCAGTGGCTTATGATGCCCACAGCACTCTTACCAAGGACAACAAAGTGAGACTCTGGCAGAAAGAAAGAAAAGAAAGAAAAGAAAGAAAAGAAAGAAAAGAAAGAAAAGAAAGGAAGGAAGGAAGGAAAGAAAGAAAGAAAAGAAAGAAAGAAAAGAAAGAAAGAAAAAGAAAGAAAGAAAGAAAGAAAGAAAGAAAGAAAGAAAGAGAAAGAGAAAAGAATTTGGACTAATGATTTAAAATATATATATTATTAAGTAATAATTAATAAAAATTTTACTGTGCATAAGGATCAACTGAGTGACATCAGGATGAAGTATGCTTCAGGGAAGCCAAGGTATCTTCACCATTAACATGCATCTCAAGGGAATCTGAGGTATCTGGAGACACTGAGGAAATGCTTTGAGGTCTTGAGCTTAATTAGTCTGCATCAGTTGTCAGTTTACTTCTCAGAGTACTGGCTACATACAGTAATACTCAGCATAGTGTGAACACTCAAGACACCTGCACATTATTATCCTGAATTGTAGTTGGTATACAATCTCATTTTCTCATAATGCTTTAAGCTATGACCACAAAAAAATCCAGTCTTTTGAATATCAACTAATATTTGTACTTCTACTTAAAATGGTAAGAATACAGTGGGTTCTATTACATCAACAGTAACTTATTTAGACAGAGTCTCAGTCACTCTCAGTAGAGTGCCATAGCACCATAGCTCACAGCAACCTTAAGCTCTTGGGTTCAAGTGATCCTCTTGCCTCAGCCTCCCAAGTAGCTGGGTCTGTAGGCATCCACTACATGGGTGGGTGTCCAATTATTTTTAGAGATAGGGTCTCGCTCATGGTCAGGCTGATCTTGAACTCCTGAGCTCAAGCAGTCTACCTGCCTGGGCCTCCCAGAGTGCTAGGATTAAAGGTGTGGCCCACAGTGCCCAGCCCCAGTAATTTATTTTAAAAATTATTTACTTACTTAAGAACTTATTTACTTACATTGTTGGTGGAACTAAGGCAAGACTAACAAAGAACTGAGGCTACTGCCTTCTACATTCTCTCCTTTCTAGGAATTCCTAGAAGAGTTCAGAAATTAGAGAAGTCACTTATTTCTTACAGCTCTCTAGGTCAATCACAACATAATATAGACTCATCCTAGTTGGTTTCTTCTCTATAGCTTAACTCCAACAAACAAGTAATTGAAGTCACTGGCCAAACAAGGACCGGGCAAGGTGGCTCACACCTGTAACCCTAGCACTCTGGGAGGCTGAGACAGGCACATAAACTCACAGGTTCAAGACCAGCCTAACCAAGAGCAAGGCCCTGACTCTAAAAATAGCTGGGGGTTGTGGCGGGCACCTATAGTCCCAGCTTCTTGGGAGGCTGAAGCAGCTAAGGCAAGAGAATTGCTTGAGCCCAGGAGTTTGAGGTTGCTGTGAGCTGTGACGCCAAAAACAGTGTAAGCGCCATAAGCACGGACATATATATTTGCAGTTTTTGGCTGGGGCTGGGTTTGAACCTGCCACCTCTGGCATATGGAGCCGGCGCCCTACTCCTTTGAGCTATTAGGTGCCGCCCAGCACGGATATTTTCATCTATTTTGTCTATGGGTATATCCCCACAACGTGACCTGGACTACCATACACCACCAAATTTTCTGAATAAATGATCAGACATAATATCCATATAATACTCTAGAGAAGAACTTCTCAAAGTGAGATTAATGGAGTACTTGAAGCCCACAAGGATACAGAAGATGTGGCAACACACTCAGAATTTCCACAGTGAAGGAGAAAGTAAGTTTCTCCATTTGACCTTGGCGGGCTGCCGCAAGACAAAAACCTTGCTAGATTGTGGAAGCTGCCCCCACCCCTTCCTGAGAGCCTGATTGGATAGATCTTACCCCAAAGCTCCTGATTGGATAAGGCTCTAAACCCTTCCCCTTAAATTTTCTGAGTGACAGGCGACAGCACCTAACTCTCAGCTGGTCAGGGTTCCCTCTCCATAAAGACACCTGGCACTGCCTGGAGGCTATTTGCATTTAACCTTGTATATGGTATATCCATTAGAATTAGTATATATGATATTCAAAACTGCAAACTATAATAAGTATTTTTAAATTTCAGATATGGGGCTGAGAAGGGTGACTCATGCCTCTAATCTTATCATTTTTGGAGCCCAAGGAAGGAGGATCAGGTGAGGTCAGGAGTTTGAGACCAGCCTGGGCAACACTACAAGGGACCACCTTTACAAAAATAAAAAACAAAATAGCTAAGCTAATGCACATGGTGGTGCATGTGTGCACTCTCATCTACTCAAGAAGCTGAGGTAGAAGACTAAGGGATGGAAGCTACAATGAGCTATAATTATGTCATTGTACTCCAGTCTGGGCAACAGAGCAAACTCTGGTATCTAAAATATAAATAAATAAATAAATATTTTAGATAATATATATATATATAAAAAAAGTGAGATTTGTGGAACTCCAAAGGTCCCTGAGACTCTATAAGAAGCCCACAGGCCAAAACTATTGTCACAATAATACCAAAATGTTATTTGCCGTTTTCAGTGTTGACTTTTGCCACCATACACTTACAGTTAAAAAAAAAAGTTTCAGTCCAGTTCTAGTATGTACCATTAGCCAAAGACTTTGAGCACTCTTCACAGCACTTACTATCTCCCTGTTCAACTTTAAGTTCTGTGAGGGCAGGAACCATGTCTGTTTTGGTTCCTTACTGCATCCTCGGCATCTAGCATATTGCCAAGAACACACTAAGTACTTAAATGTTTGTTCAGTGAAGGAAATAATCAGTTCTCTCACCTTTTTCTTTGGAAAATAGTAAATCGTAATTATTTTCTTTGTAAGAATAATGGTCTTCTAAGAAGATTCATTGTAAAATGAAAGCATATACATCCCTAATTTTCTCCAACTTCCATAATAAGATTGGAGATGATGAATTCTTCTTTTTTTTTTT